AATCGAGCACCGATACTAAAAAAGATAAAACTATCAAGACAAAACGATGAGTCATACCTTATTCCCACATTGTGCCATCACGGCGTAAGTCTTCGACCGCCTAAGGCTCTCAGGGTGTGGCAAAACGACGCTGGCATTGTTCACCTTCGAGAATAGCGACGCCAAAGCCTTGGCATCATCAACAACAAGCTTCTTGGTGACCACCTTCTGTTTCTTCTTTGGCACCTCATCCTTCGCAGAGGCTATCCCTTTAGCCTTCTCCTCGGCAGATCGTTTGCGGCTCATCGCCTCATGCTTCACAAGATTGGAAGCAGGGGGCCTTGCCGATTGCAGGAACGCAAGTATCGCCAAGGCAGTTGGCGTGGAAGGTTCCTTTGGTGCGCTTGGCGTTTTGGTGGACGCCTCGGGAATGATCTCCCCCTGTTCAACATCATCTGCCTTGGCCGCACCTGAATCAGCAACAAGCGCCTCTTCGCTTGGATTATCAGGGGTCGGTAGTCTCTCTCGAGTCAACGCCTCTTCATCAGGCTTAGTGGTCTCACCAGTCTACTCGATGTTCTCCTCGCCTCACTTAGAAGCCTCTGCGGCTCGTCTGTCAGCCTCCTCGGCTCGTCTCTCAGCCTCCTCGGCCTCCCTTCTCTTCTGCTCTCTGAGGGTAATTATAACTATCTTCTCTCTCATATCGACTGAACACTTAGAAGATTATGAGCTAACTGAGACTCCGGCTAGAATAAATCAGGCTCTCTCAATTCTTTCAAGAGAGAAGTGACGTTTCTAGTTAACCTTCCCAGCAGCAAAGGCGTCACGAACAGTAAACAGATCGTCGGGAATAGGAGGGAGAATATTCTAAACTGTAAAAAGAAGGGAAAATAAACTAGGTCAGAAAAATAATACAAAATATGGAAAGGTTCCGAGCCAAGACAAGGCTTCGGATCGACTACCAAATGGTCCCCAATCCGTTTTGACCCTCTGAACAAAGCCTTCGTCTAATGACGCCTCTTTCACTTGAACGTAGAAAAAGCGCTCAGTCCAGAAACTATCTTTGCTCGGGAAACCGCCGATAATCTGAAGTTTCAACTTGTTGGATGTAAAATTTAGTTCCCCCCGGGGTGGTTCAGCTTCACATCGATCCCACACTCAAAACTTTGAACCAGAATACCGATCATATGCCGTAAACCTCTCAGCATTATCTGACCGATCGAGATCCCATGTTTCCACAAGTACTCGAGGATCACTTTGGGGATCGGGAACCAGAGGAAGCACAGTTCAAAATATGCTTCGTATACAGTAAAATGATTTGCAGGAGGTTGGTCAGCCCGCTCAGTCTACCCAAGAACAATGAATTCAACCGCCTCGGAAATTCTGAAACGGTATCGTGTGCTTCGAGGGACTCCGGGGTCGAGAGAGTAGAACTGGGCGGATCAAGTTTTTGCCTCTTCCCTTGTCGAACTTTCTTCCTCCCTGAAGAAAAAGCGCCTCGGCTCGCCATCAGACGCTCCAATTCAAGCTTTGCCTCGATTGGATCAAACGGGAAGGCTTCCTCTTCAGCTTTCACCGCGGCAAAGTCTATAGTCTTGTCTCAGTAGGAAGCGGGATCCCGAGAAGAATTCCTCGAATCAGGTGCCTCAGTATTTACAGAGCAAGCGTCAGTGGCTCGATACAACAGATGCCTCGTCATCGATGGAATGCGCACGGGAGGAGCTCGTCGAGATTGTCGCCTCGTCATTAATGGAACGCATGCTGGAAGAGCTTGTTGAATTCGTCGCCTCGTCATTTGGAAAACGCATTTCATAATTAAAGTGGGAATCCAACGAATCATCAGCTCGGTTCGATATATCTACACGCAGATATAGGAGTTAAAAGAAATAAAGCTAGGCTCGAAACACAGGGCACAGCTCGGCAAGAAACTTTGACGGAAGTTTGACGGTGCATTTCAAGTCACCGTGCGATATTGACGGCGCGGCGGAGACTCGGCGGAAACAACAAAAATCCTAGCCGGAAAATTAATAAGTTAGAGAGAGAAAGAAGAGAGAATGAGCTACCTTTGTGAGAATTTGGAAATCTGAAGTTAAGAAGAAAATGAGAGTTGAAGACCCCTTATATAGAGCGTGTGGGGTCAGTTTTCACCTCAACAAGTTTAGTCATCCTGAAAATTACTAAGTGTTCAAAAGACAATATCAGGCCCATGATCAATTCCAAGTAGAGCTTTTCCTGGGTTGGGCCGAGCCACGACAAGGTGTGAAATGGGCCGAGCCGCGAGAGAGAGGACAAGTGGGCCGATCCATGCAGGAGAAGAAATGGGCCGAGCTGGTCCTTCTCTTGTTGAGCCGAGCTGATCCCCTTCTCGTGGGCCGAACCGGTTCCTTTTCTGTGGGCTGAACCAGGTGATCGATGATTAGCAGGCCTAGGCCGAGAAGGATGAAGTCCACGTAAAAACCCTAGGCGAAGTGCGGAGGCGAAGGCTGCGCGAGACGATAAAGAAATATTACGAGAATCCATCCTGAGATCTTGATTCAGTATGTTAACTTTTTGCAACTTTAAGCAATAAAACTAAACATTTTTTACAACATTAAAAAAATTCTTTTAATTTTGTGTTCTTGCGAGAAAACCCTAGAGATTTCAAATCTTTTTAAATTTCTTAATAAGTTTTGGTTGTGCAATTTTTGCTTCACATTATCATCACCAGATTCGAATAACGATATTGCAACTATTCTGGCGGATATTCGAGATTTGGCATTGCTTTTTATCTCTATCTCTTTTAAATTCATTCACCGTTCTTTGAATTGTGAGGCGGACAAGTTGGCCAAAGAATTCTTATTTACGTTGGATAATGTAATTGATACTTCTTAAGTAATAAAGTTAAATCTTGAGAAAACAAAAATAACCAATGGAGTTGGTCTTACTCTCTTTCTTTTTTTCAAACATTTCTCTATTTTCTGATTGTCAAGAATGCTGCAAGCCAATTTAAAAACAAATGTTTTCTTTACTGCAAGTCATTTATAAAATTAATTTTTGGTTTAAAATAATTTTACATAACAAAAAATATGTTCTTAAAAAGTATTTTTAATAATAACAGTGGTACGCAACAATGAAATTAGTTCAAAAAAAAACAATCATGAAACATATGGAACATAACATTGCATCACCATAAACATGTGATAAAGACTAGTGAATCATCGCCAGTCACGTTATTTACAATACACCGACGATATATTTGTCGTGTGATTACCAGTTATTGCAGAAGCATTTTGCTCCAAAAAATTAAACGAATGGATTATGATAATGAGTTAAAATGAATTTATAAATTGTTTGCCTCATTATGCCCAGAAAAGTTATTGAAATAAGAAAAACGAAAACGTAGACAAGGAAGTAGTTCAAGCACGTGATGAACCTAACACGATGGTCAGACATTTTTAAAACCTCGTAAAAGTTGTCGCAACTGCATCATAATTAATTACCAAACACGTTCATCTCCTTTCTCATAATAGAACACGCTCATTCATTGGTACAATACAAATTTGGATTATTTTTTTCAAAATTTGTCCATTAAATTGTTTATATCGGTACAAGCCATTCTCATACAATATTTTTTTTTCATACAATATATTTATTTTATATGTTCCATACATATTGCTTTAAAGTAATTTTTTTCGTCGACAAAAAAAAAGTATTTTTTTCAAGTATTCTAGAATACGTTGGATGCTAGTTGAGTGACAAACTTACCACCGTATAGAACCAAAACAAATTAAGGAAAAAACTTTAAAAATACCTTGATTATATAAAATTTGGAAGAATGATTGGAGAGCCAAAATAGAAACCAAAATTGTATTTTGACAATGCAAATTATATCAAATACACAGAATTTAATCGTTCGAGTACTAAAATATGAGTGACTAATAATTTGAGTATTAAATACAGAACAATCAATAGTTCATGTATTTTTTTGGGAGCCAAAATAGTTCATACAATTTTCTTCCAAATTTATATAGTTGGTGTATTTCAAGGTTTTTTTCCTAGAACTTTATAAAATATATAACTATAACTTTTTATAGTAAATAGTGACATAATGATTTTTAATGGATAATTAAAAATGACTAATTTAATATGAGGAATAAACTCAAATAGTGAAATGATATACTTGATTTTTCCAAGTAAGAATCAACCTATAATTAAATGATATTATGGACAAACATTTACACCTCTTTAATTAGTGTTTTGTTACAAATAGACACTTAAACAACATCGTTGTATATGGGAAATTTAGAAGAACGTATAACATACGTGCCAGAGCCAAATGTTCAAGCATTAAATCGTCGTTACGTGAGTATTTTAGAACAATGGTTTTCTTACACATATTGAAATTACATATTATATCGTTTCTTAATACTAGGTGAATACATGCATGTAACGTACCGGTTTTTTTCTTCAACTATTTCAAATTTATATATTTTCGTATTTAAAAAAATATAATCATCATTTGTTATATGTTAGTATATTATAATAAATCAATCAATTTAAAATATAATATCATTTAGAAATCAAAAATTTATGCAAAAAACCAATATTTTTAATTAATTATAACATAACTTTTTGGTTAATATTTACATAAATATCATTTAAGAATTAATTAATATAAAAACTTTTTATTTTCTTTGAGTGGTTTAAAATTTAATATTAAAAATTTATTAATTAATTTTTTTAAAAAAAATTGTAACTTTAAATTAAAAAGTATGATACATGTCATTCCATATTGAATCTCAAATGCTGATGTATCATTCATATGGAGAGAGTTAGTCATTTTTATATATAAGATTAGAATTTCCCAAAAAAAAAAATTGGAAACTTGCATTATTACTCATTTACTATGAGTTACTTCAAAAGGATGAAAAACAAACAAATTGGTCTTTAACAACAACAAATAACAAACAAACAAATTGGTGAAAATACTAAACAACATTTTTTGTGGAGTAATACGTACTAATATATATAGATAGCTACGATTGTTTGATAGACTTATAACTTCACATGATAATCAGTCGAATCACCAGGAATTACAAACAAAAAAAACCCAAACTCATAAGCAAAAGATCACCAGATCTCTCTTATTTAATTATTTAGAAATGGAGATTGATCGAGATGTAGAATCAAGGACACTTGGGAGTCATTTTGCTGCTGAGCTTGTCACGATAACAAGCACACTCATCCTTATTTCCATAGGTTCCTGAAGGAACACACTTGCACTCTTTGCAACATATCCCACAATAGTTCAAACATCTATCCTTCATCCCTGATTTTTTGCATCTCACTTCACACTTCCCTCCACACCATTTCTCTAACGCCGCTCCATCTTTCAATTCCGGCGCGGGAGCTACCGCGCCACCACCACCACCTTCATCACCATAAACTAGTTCATTTCAAAATTTGTGTACATGTTATATCCCTTAATGAGTTTGCATCTTAAGCCATGTAGATTAACTTCACTTCCACTCTTTTTTTTGAATATTTGTATTTTAGCTAAACCAATAAGTTCAACCAAGTCATGATTGTTTATAAACACAAACCGAATTTTGTATTTTTGATTACAAGTTTTAGAATTTCTTTACTAGGATTGTAAATTCAAAAGAAATGCGAACATAAACAAACAATTATTACCTAAATTAGTTGGACCAATATATCTTAGTTAATTATATGAAAGAAGAAAGAAGTAAGGAAGAGTCTTGATGAGAATAACAAACCTGAGACAGTAGCCGAAGCAAGAGATGAAATGATAAGAAGAAGTGAGGCTACAAACAATATGGAGATAATGATCTTCATGTTTATTTTCTTTAGTTTTCTTAAGTACTCAAGGATGGTTTGGTTAGCAATTACCGAGTTTTTTTTTTTTTGGTGGTCTCTTTATCCTTTTATAGGCCAAGCTACCAACCTCTTTATTTATTCAATGGAATTGCAGTATTATTCCTTCTATTATTTTTATTAACGAAAACCAACTTGTTCTATTATTGTTATTTTTTTGTATACATTTGTCATACTAAAGAATATCAAACCAATATTTCAATCTAATCGAGTACAGAGTTTTTTGGTGTATTGCTAATAAATAGGAGATTCTGGATCAAAAATTATACTGATCTCCAGAGACTATCATGATTAAACCTTCAATCCTTAAATTTTAAACGGTCAAAATTATATAGTATCGGGTATTCTTACCATTAAAAATATACACAATAGCAAAAATGATTAACGTAAAGTAAGAATATTCAAAAAAAAAAAAGTAAGAATATTGCAACTGATCTGGTCTCTCAGACTCATGATTTGCGTATTTTTATGGTTATTGTTTATAATAATGTCATAGATGTAGTTATCTATTGAAAATATTTTACTACAAATAAGGAATAATTTGAGCTTTTAACACTCGACTACTCTTTGGAGTGAGTGTAACCGTGTCGAATAGTCCACTCACCAGTTTTTTAATGGGTCTAAACTGTGACATTGTAATACTATAATGACATCATTTCGATTGGCTGGGAGTTGTCAGATCTCGTTTGAAGAAAATCGATCCATAGGCTGCACCTACAGGCTACAAGGATACTCCCCATCAAGTGAGAACCACTAACCTACTCATTGTCTATAACAAATTTTGTCATAATTTTTTTTAACAAACTTTAAATACTTATTAGTTTGAGTTTTAGTTCGGGGTTCCGCAGTTATAACAATAATGTAGATACTGTTCTCGCAAGAAATTGGATCATTCAATTGTTATGTTCTCAATAATATATATGTTAGATTAATCTATGCACATAAAGTGTTGAGGGAAAACGAGGAAGGTTAAAAAGAAAGAAAAAAAAACGAGGAAGTTAAAGAAAGAGGGAAACAGGCTGGTGACAGATAGAGAAGGAACAGAAACAAACGACGAGATGGTCTCTTGAAGACCTCTTTTAACGCGCTTTCCGCACATGACTCCCATACAAACTTATTTGTTTGTTTATCTCCAAATGGAACAATTTTAAACAACTATACAGGTCAAATCTACTCTAATAAAAGTAGGCTCTGAGTGTGTCCACCTCAGCTTTTAGAAATTCAGGAGAGGATGCCACATTCATGAAACTCACGATTCATGATCAGCTTTGATAAAACCTTTGATAATAAAAAAACATTTGATCTTCTCCTCAATCTAAACTCAAACCATATGTCATTATAAATCTTCCACACATAAATTGGATGCTCAACGTCACAAAACGTTTGTAGATCATCACGATACACCTACGAAAACACTTTCTCTCCCCCTTAGATTTTGATAGCTCCAAACACCATATTAGACCAATATACTTCCCATATCAAAAATTAGGAAACGTCTCATAATTCCTTTTTCAAATGCAGGATGACTAAAAGGATCTCACATATGTGATTACCTGCTATCCATCAGCGCTTCATCTTCAATCTCGATCTACTTTCCATTTAACGAAGATTGGTTCTTTTTGCAATCGTTTCGTTTTAGCACACGGAGAAGGAGGGGATGCAAAGAGTCGGTGAATCTGCAAACCAACATGCAGGAGAGACCAAACAGAGGTATGCCTATGGAGTTCACTATAGTTAACTATCCATCCATCTGTCTTTCCATTGTTTTCAACGATAATAACTCATTCTCAAGTAATTCAATGTGGCGTTCGCCAAAAAAGGCGGATTGCAGAATAGTCCCTTCAGATTCAAGAGGGTGACATTAAGTAAGACTGCTCTCACTGGATTTTGAGCCAAATCTCTATATGATGCAAAATATTGGATACTTGAAAATATCCACGCTGTAAGACACTGTATCAGAAAACCTCGAAGAAGCGATGGGTGTTTTTGGGTTACAAGGAAAAACATGAAAATTGGGTATTTTTTTCATATTTAAATTACAGTTGGATTTTAGCACTGATGTATGAAGATAATTTGTTTTATGTATGCAGAGAACGTTTAATTGTACAATTTTGCGTAGGACAGTTGCAAAATAACTGAAAAGAAGCAGTGATGGCTTATGCACACTAAAGTCAATGCTAGGAATCCTAATAACTTCTTCATTCTGCAGTCCTCTACTATTTCATTGTAATTTTCTCTTTGACTTTTTCCCTTCGCACAATAAAGAGACGATAGCTCTAATGTCCTAGCCCTTATTATTCTTATCACCATGGCAGAGGCGATGGTCCTAATAGACTTCACTGGCATCCCTGAATAAAGGACTAATGGACTATCGTGGTTGTGGAATATTAGACCATGTTCAATAGTAGCAACTCTAAAAAAGGTGCTTAAATATTATTTAATTATTAAATTTAAAATCATCTTTATTTTATAACATATATCTGCTAGTATCTGTTAAGCATCGCTGCTTACAACTCTTATTTAAGCATTAATGCTCAAATTATTCTATTTTTATGATTTAATTTTTTAAAAAAATTATCTAAGCACTCTTCCTAAACATCTGCATTAAACATGCTCTTATGTTCTCAAACTCCATACATTGTCCACTCTGTAAGTTAACCTACTACTATTTATGCTTCGTTAAACTAATTTCTGTATAAGTCAAACATATTGTAACGTTTAGCTCATTTTAATTACTAAATAGTTGTTATTGGATAGGTAAAGCCTCTGCAAGTTTAAGCCCAAACCTGGCCTTGAGAGCAGGCGAGGGAGGCGACCGCCGCGGGCATCCACTATAAAAGGACATATTTTTTGCGGCATCTACTCTAAAAGAGCATATTTTTTGTTAAAAAAAAAATATTAGAGATTAAACTCTAGTTTACCTCAAGTCCAGGTTTGAACCATTCCAAAAGTATAAACAAACTTTTGGGTTTTTGTTTGATATAAAAAAACTAATATCGGCCATCAATGATAGTTTGAAGAAAACCGACTAAAGAAAACCTAAATCTAGCACAATAAGGAAACCGTACCCATTAGATAAAAGAAAACTTAAATCTAACCCAATAAGAAAATCGTACCCTGGGGGCTTCGCCCCCCACACCCCCCCCCAAGTGAATCCGCGTCCATCTATAGTCTGTTACATTCCTCAACTTGCTCTAGCAGAATCTCTTTAATTATCTTTATCATCAGAAACAACAAAATGAGTTTGCTTTGTTATCAATTGAGACAGTTATGGTTGAAAAACTCGACTACGACAGTTTAATGAATGATTTTACACGGAAAAATGCAAGAAGATCTATATTTCAGTAATAAAACTATTATGTTTTATTGAATCTTTTTATTTTCTTACAAATCGTTTATGGAGTTTAATTGTTTTATAAAGTTTTTGTTTTATTTTTTTATTATTTTAATTTTGAAAAATATATAAAAGGGCATATTTAAAAAAGTTAGATGCGGGCTTCCAAATTGATCGGTCCGGCACTGTTTAAGCCTCTGTCGTTTGTCAAGTCACTTGTGACATACTAGCAGGAAAATAATGTTAAGGTTATCATAATTAAGAGTCCTCCTAATTCACATGCTTCTCTGTTTTTTGGCTTCAAAATCAGGTTGTGCAAGGTTTATATGACTGTTTGAATAGATTATGAATCTATTCATTTGTGGGCCACTTGAGGTTGAATTTTCAATTTTGTGGACACACCAAGTATCGCCAATTCCTCATTCAAGGAAATAACCTGCTTCTTAAAAAATAGCAAAAAATGTGTCAACACATGGCTAGGTAAGTAACACAACTATAAGGACAATCTGATATTGTTTGTTTTCACAACCAAGTAAACAGAGAGTACTCCATCAGTTTGTTTACTATTTTCATGAGAAATCAGAAAGGTTCAGGTTGGGGAAAATTGGAAAGCTGTTTCTGGCTTGGTTCTAATTTACAACAAAGCTGCATTTAATTAATGCATTCTTAGTCAAGAGTATACATATAGACATGCAATAGCAAATATTCACATGTTCACATACCTTTAATGGATTAGTATAGTTAATACTCAATGCATAGTTATACTCATGTCATTCAGATCAAATTAGTTGAGAAATACTTAGCGTGATAATTCACTAAATTATGACGATGAAAAAAAAATCTATAAGGTCTAATAGAGTGGAGTGAGAAAAAAAATTGAGTGGAGTGATTTAGTAGTTGGAAATAATCATCGCTTGCATTTTTCTGTTTTCAAAACTCGAATTTACAATCTACATGTAGTTAAGAAATTAAGGCCTCTACTGTTGCTTCTTTTCCGTTGAGTTAAGCTTTTAATTGAGATGTTTTACTTTTGTAAACTTGGCTATTTTGTTAGGCCAACGTTATATTTTATGATTGTGTTTTCGTGTTCTGCAGCTCTATGTCGAGAATATGCATCAGAACACTTTGCGTCCGTTTTGATATATTTGGCCAAACGAATTTCTGACATGTCTGACTTTGTTATGTTCTGACTTAAAAATTATGTATTTAGATTTGAGAATATATGGTCTGATCTCTGTTTTCTTTTTTTTTCCTAAAATTTGTATGTCATTCGTTGTTTACCGTTTCAATGTTACAACTTATACATATCGAGAGCCACTAAGCTTAGATGAAGGTATGAAGCTTTATAACTTTGTTATAAAATCACAAAGCTAACTTGGAAGCGTCCTTGTGCCTTTTTTTTTGTTGGAAAATTTGCAAAGTTGGGGGTGTTTTCAAACTCAGAACCCCTTTATTGTTTCATTTCCAATTATTATTGTCTTATCATGATTCCAAATATTCTTGGGTATCATAAAACTAGAAAACGTTTGACAGGGAATAAAAATCTATATCAAATTATATCGTTCGCATAGATAGGAACTGAAATCTGTATCAAATTAGGTAATGAAATCTAAGAAGAGAAATGGCATCGTTCGTTATATAAGTATAAAGATATCCATCTTTCTTCCAGTATGTATATCAATATTTATATAGAACCATACATGATGGTGCATAAATTAAGGAATCACGTTTAAATCCACATCCAAACAAGAAAACTATACAAAAATCATAGAGGTAATCATAAATATTATTAGAGTATTGGTGTGACTTAAGAGATTTGAAAAATGAGATATATAGTAGATTGGTGTAACTTGGAATATTTGAAAGAAAAAAAAAGAGAGAATTCAATTAAGAACAAAAACATAATTAGAATAACAAATAAAAACAATGATTTCAACACATTAAAATCATTTGATTAGCTAATAGTTTTAAACTTTCAACTTAGTAAAATTTTTAATTTAAATCATCATATTTCTTTTGATGTATTATCATTGAAAACAAAAGTTTTTTCTTTGACATCGTTTTTAAAATTAAATGACTATATTTCTTCTGTCGTATTATATTTTTAAATTATAACACATTTATATTAAGAAAATCTTTACAAAAATAATCCGCGCGTAGCACGGACAATACATAGTTAAATGTAATAATATATACATAATGTGTTATAGTGTATTTTGCTTGTTATCACAACTTTGAACTGCTAAGAAGTTGATAAGATGTAATTAGGGAAATGATATTAACTTATAGTAAGATCCTAATCATTTTTAAACCTTGATTGTTTGTAGTTTTTAGAATAGATTTTGGTTTTTGTTTTTCAAAAAACCATTTTATTAGCCATTCAAGTTTTTGCAGAAATGGATTCCCTAAATGTTAGGGAAACTAGTTTTTCAGAGTTTTCATATTTTATAAACAAAAACCAAAAACTACTATATATGAGTTTTTCCACCGTAAGTTGTTGTTTTTTTTTAATTTGTTTTTTTTTAAATACTGCTATTTTTCTCAATCACTATTTAATAAAAATATAAAAGCAAAACAAAATAGCATTTCTAAAAGAAAAATATGAAGAAGCAAAACAAAACCTCATTCTACAATAACCTCATTAACTATCATTTTTTATTGTAGAAAAAAAATTAAAATTTTAAAATTTTTATTATTAATTTTTGTCAGTTATTGTTTTTTTTATAAAAATGTATGATTTTGAAAATTCAATTTTATTTATTTGATTTTGTAATTTTATAACACACAAAAGTGAACTAAAATTAAAAAGCATAGAAATGTTTTTCTTTTAAAGAAATATTGCTAAAAAAAACCAGAAACTAAACAAATTATACCATTCAAGGTTTTAAGAAACAAAAATCTACAACAAAATCAAAAACCAAAATTTAAAAAACCAAAATCCAATAGTCAAAAACTAAAAGCTAAAAGCCAGAATCCAAAAACTAAAAACCTTGCAAACATTCATGGCCTTAATATGAACAAGTATAAATGGATAAGAATACAGGACATTACAGAACATACCTGTGGCAAATATCAGAAAATATCTAAAGATATATTTCTTTCCCCAAATCCATCTCAAATAGTTTTCTTACATTAAGAATCCCATGTGTCTCGTCTTCAACATGTATCATCAAATATTAGGATAAAATCTAATATATAATAAAAATTGCAACTAGAGAACTATAAGACCAAAAAAAAGAATTTTCAATTAATAATAGAATAAATAACAAGTTGTTAATAATAAAGAGAAATATACGATAAAATAAAAACATAGAAAAAGAAGGCAAAAAAAAATTATTATAATTTAAAAGCATGAAAAGAAGATAAAATCAATGAAATATATGTGTAAACAAAAACTTAAAAAGAAAATTTAAAATTTTAAAATTATTGAAACATTGAAATTTAGATAAATAATACTACGGAAAGAATATGCATACCAAGTAAACATTCGAAAACCGATGGATGAAAAATATTATTACAGTCATCAAAGAAAAATTATTTATAAAAAATGCAAGAGAATATTGATAATCAAACTAAAAGTCTGAAGTCATATTATTATAACACAATACAACAAGAACTTCTTCTCTAATTTCCTTCTGGACAATTAAATTGTATGATTGCTAGAACCGATTTGATCCTCTCTGTTTTGTTTTTCCTTCCACGTTTTTTATTTTCTTCAGCTTTCAGCATGATTCTTTCTGCAAAAGTTATTACGATTCAAGTTGCATTCATTTAAATATGGGAAATTACTTATAATGTACCAGTACTATCATTTATTACTAAAACTAGGAATTAGCCCGCACATTATGCGGGATAACATTTTCTAAATTGTCTAAAATTAATTTTAAATTTTTGATTAAATTAAAATTGGTTGTTAAATCTTTTAAAAAAATATAAATAAATAAAATTGATGATAATTAGATAAAAATTTATATATAAATATCACACAACCGATATTTACTTATATATATATATCCATCGAATAGAACTTTGGGTTAGTTTTTTTACGCGGTTTAATTATTTATAAGTTTTAAATGTGAAAGTGATATGATGTTAATATATACTTATATGCATACCAACATAGATTAATATATATATATATATATATCCATAAAATAAAAATTTAATTGTAAATATGATATTAGAGATCAAACTATCATTTTTAGTTAATAAATTCTATAATATGTGTTAATAATAATTATATATACGATTGTCAAAGTGGACAAATCCATTTACTTAAATTATTTCACAATTTACTGAAATCTTTTTTCAACCAACTTGTAAAAAAATACAATTTAAAATTTAAAAAAAAAATTCATTTTTTTAATAAAAATAATTGAATTGATTTTTGAAAATGATATTAATTAATTATAAAAATACAAATAAAAATATTACAAAAGTATAAATATATATTTTAAATATATGGATTGATTATTATGTTGACAAAAAAAATTGATTATTACTTAAAATAATAGAATATATTTTAAAATTTTAATAAGTAAAGAAACTAAATACAATTTTGATTTATATCCATATATATTCAAACCAAATCTGTGAGTTTTATATTTAACTATCTTTTACGGAGGAATATTTAATTGAGCTTTTTATATTTGTAAAGTTTATTTATGTAATATCTTATAAGTAAAGGTTTATTTATATAATATCTTATAAATCAATGCTCATCTATGTAAAATATTCTGTAATATCTTACAAATCAATGTTCATTTATGTAAATGTCTACTCAAATAATAATATAGAGATAACTTCATTTAATCTTGGAGAAGTAAAACACATAGGAGATTACGTGTAACCCTTAGTTGAGAAATATGATTACAATGTATGCCATTTGAATATAATTTATTAATTTTTGTTTCTTAAAAAAAAAACTTTTTACTTCCTTTTCAGATTTACTTTAGATTTACTTTTGGGATAACTTTTCATAATTTTATAGAGATTTTTTACTTTCTCTTCTCTCGCCCATTCTCTCTTTCGGTCTCTCGACGACGGAATTCTGATAGTCCTCTGGTTATTTGCGACTACTGTCTTAGTTTTTGTCTGCGTTATCGGCGGCGTTGTCTCCGGTGTTCTCATTTCTTCTGTTCACTTATCTTCACCTGTAACATGAGAAATGTCTGTGAAGCTATTCATCTTCCAGAGAAGAGTTTACATAACTAGGATAACAAGGTAAGCGAGGCACAACCTAAGAAGAACAAGTCCTCACATTATGGCCTGTTTGACCATATTTTGAGCATGTAGGAAATTTCCGAGGAACTTTCTTCGCCAAAGCAATTTACATGGCTGATTTAAACTGCACTTCTTTGGCCTTCCTGGAGGTTGGCATAATGAGGAAGGTACGCATATCTTTGCTTCTACCTATGCGGAACAGGTGATTGTCTATCCCTTGGCTGATGGATGCCGCGTATGCGTTACTAAGATAGTTTGTGTGATAGTATTTGTAACATAGCCAAATTGGTGAAGCTCTTTTTGCCTCCGCAGCCGCAATATCGTGTATACACGGTATCTTGTCCAATTCAAACATACGACATGTATATTTCTGTGCAATCAAATTGACAACATTAACATATGCTCCACCACCGACTTCAAATTGGTGGGCATCAATCTCCTGGACTGTTAGATCCTTACACCTTTCTACGTGACCCTGTGGATGCAGTTATGTGAAATAATCAAAAAGTAGATAGTTACATCATCAATGGTAAGTTTACCGCAAGCAATTTCTCAATGCCACATGTTGAGACGGTTTTCATTAGTCCTGCATCATTACGCCACTCTGCAAACCATCTTGTCAATATTGACCTTATTGCGTCTATAAGTTGCATAATAGGCAAGCTTCTAGCCTCGGACAGTACTTTGTTGATTGACTCAGCTATGTTAGTTGTGGTGAAGTTGTACTTATCTTTGTCGAAATAAACTCGCGTCCAGCACCGTACATCAGCCTTTTGCAAATGTGCATGAAGGGCATGATTCACCTGGTGAATCTCTTCAAAAATGGCGTTAAAATCATATATTCGATAAGCATTTGCCTCTTTTTTAATAAGCCGGAACGACTCACCACCTCTAAACCTTTGGAGTATGTTCTTATACAGATGGTAAGTGCAAATTCTGCGAGTTGCTAGAGGGTACACCTTTCCTATGATGTTTCCAATTGCTATGTGCCTATCTGAGATAATGGCAAGTCCTCTGTCATCCGGTATGACATTGCTTAATTGTTTAAAGAACCATTCCCAAGATTCGTCATTTTCTGAATCCACCGCGCCAAAAACAATTGGAAATATACCAAAGTTCCCATTTTGTGCAATTGTGTCCATGATATACATTGTGTCCATGATTGATATAAGTCCACGCTTACAACGGTTTTACTGCAATACAAACTAGTAAAGTCAGATGATAAGTCGACACTTCCAGTTACCTTAAGTCGGAATCATTTCTGTAATGCATCAGAGACATGAATATGTAATACGGTTGGACCAACACCACCTACAAAATCTTTGAACAGTATACCTAGAATCTCATGAGTTGCTTGTCGAGTACGTCCAGAATGCTCAGTTATTGAACATATATGATCTCTGACATAGATCCGAACATAACAGTTTAGGCTATCTCCAATCGGTGATGCTCTCAGTCTCCATGAACAATGCTTGACCCAACACTTCATCGTATACAAAGTTGGGGTTGATAATTCGACATCAAAATCAGAATGATCTATAACTGAAAGAATCTTGAGCCTTGTATCCAATGCCTCGTTTTCATATCGTTGTCCAACAGTGACATTCAAGGCGGACATTTCGACAACCTGGTACTCGTCTAGTATATTTGGCTTCTTCGTTGAAGCTTTGTTTATGTTCGTCTGACTTTTCTTTTCATCTTGTTCTTCGCTTTTGGACTTCCCATATACTGAATAATCATCATCACCCTGTGAAGCTCCATCAGAGTCGTCGCAGCAATCAAATATATCACCTTCTTCATCTTCGTCTTCTTCAACGTGACTTTCTGCATCTTCATCAAATTTGGCCCGTTTTTTACCCTCCTTGCTGCTGTCCTTCTTTTGTTCTTTTATTGTCACACATAAGCGAATAGATGCTTCCTTACACTGATCTAAATACCTTTGAAATTGTCGATTGTTCCCAACAAAAACGCACAGAGTATCTTGTGGTAAGTTTAACAAAACCTTCTTCTGAAGCATGTAACTCAACTCGATGTCTTGCAAGCTTTTGTCAAACCCAAAATCTTCATACACCATGGAAACAAAATCTTCAAAACTTGTTCAACGATCTGCAACAATAACTCGACTTCCCCTTGTACAATTAACAAAAAAAAAAAAACCAGCGGTTTTTCTGGTATCTCCAATCATATACAAGGATTAATTGCTCCATCGCCATATGAACGGAAAATCTTGAAACGAGAAGGAAAGGAAGATTGAAATTGGTAAGCTCTGTCCGATAGGTGGTCATAAATATGGCCTCATAAATTTTGTGGCATCTACGAACCGACAACGACCACCCACATTGCTATTTAAATGTGGGTTGTAAAAAAATCTACCTTGACAAAACCCCATTATCTACTAAATCTGCACCTTTATATAGATATGTCTACATGGTATGTCTAAGTTCATAGCAAAAGTCTATTGTTAACGTAAACAATATGTCTACTACTTAAGTCTGCCTTTACATAAGTGTCACAAACAAGTCTACCGACTATACAAGTTGACCACTACATAGTCTCATCCAAACCAATAACTCTAGACCATGTGTAGATATGTTTACGGTATAAGTTGACTTTCATGTAATTTCATCAAACAAGTCTGCCGACTCAACAAGTCTGCCGACTCAACAAGTCCACATAATGTAAATCCTCAAAATCTATTAAATCTGCACATAATATGTGTACTGCTTAAGTGTGCCTTCACTAAAATATCACAAATGAGTATACAAGTAGACCACTACGTAGTCTCGTCCAAACTAGTAACTCTGCACTGTGTAGATATGTCTGTGGTAGAAGTCTACGTTCACGTAATTTCATCAAACAAGTTTGCCAACTCAACAAGTCTACCTAACGTAAATCTTCTAAATCTACTAAATCTGCACCGTCAAACAACATGTCTACTGCTTAAGTCTGCCTTTACATAAATGTCAGAAACAAGTCTACCGACTATACAATAAGGCGACTACACTACGTAGTCTCGTCCAAACCAGTAACTCGGCAACGTGTGTAGGTATGTCTACGGTATACGTCAACCTTCACGTAATTTCATCAAACAAGTCTGACTCAACAAATCTACCTAATATAAATCTTCAAAATCTACTTAATATGCACAGTCGAACAATATGTCAACGTATTAAGTCTACCTTCACATAAATGTCACAAACAAGTCTACCGACTATACAAGTCGACCACTATGTAGTCTCGACCGAACCAGTAACTCTGTACCGTGTGTGGATATGTTTATGGTAAAAGTCTATCTTCACGTAATTTCATCAAACAAGTATACCAATTACACAAGTCTACCTAACATAAATAGTAAAATCTACTGAATCTGCACCGTCGAACAATATGTCTACTAAATTTAGTGGGTCTAAACATAAATTTTCCAAACAAATCTACCGAATAAACCAGTCTACCTCCAAAAAACTGGTGGTGGCAGTTCCATAAATAAGTACTTCCATCTAATAAAAAAATAATTTCACTTTTGTTATTCTGTTTTTGGTATTACTGACAAATAAAGATTTTATGGGTATTTTTGGCTTTGAAAAATATTCTAGTAATTTTTCAAACGTTAGATACATTCTAGTAATGAAATGAAACTTTTATGACTTTATAGTAAGGGTTTTTAGTGAAAAAACCTCTCAACCAAGTTTGAATCGGATAGAAACCTCTCAACTATTTTTGTAATGCAAAAACCCCTTAACTAAGTTTTCGTAATGATTTAGCCCCTCTGAAAACAATACCATCAAATCTTAACGGATTACAGTTAAATGAAAACGTGGTGTTTTGTATTTTACAAAAAAAACGAAATGACTTCAATAAAAGAAAACTCAAAATCGATTTGAAACTAAAAATCCCCAATTTATAAATTAGGGTTGCTCATTCAATTTAAAAATCTCTTAAATTCTTCTTCTAAGTAAACTTGTTGGAAGAAGAAGAAGAACAATGTTTTAAAGATCAAAGTAAAACAGTTGCCTCATCTTCTTCCAAGCTTCAGATTTGTGATTTTTTCTCCTCTTTCTCCCAATTTGCGAAAATATTTCTCTCAGTTCACGGGCTTTTCTCTCAAATTCGTTTTAATCAACACAACAAATCATTTCCAATCTCACCCAATTGACTTCCAAACTATAAAAACTACTTAGAATCACACTTTCAAAAATTAGAGTTCATTAATTTAGGTTTAAGAATTTGGGAATTATAAAGATTAGGTTTAATTTGGAATTTTTATATCTGGTTTTCAAAAAGCTTGTTGTTTATAGTAAAAATCATGTAGTTTTTGCTAAAAAAGAACGATTTGTTAAGATTTGACGGTGCTGTTCACGGAGGGGCTAAATCATTACGAAAACTTAGTTAAGGAGTTTTTACTTTAAAAAAATAGTTGAAGGGTTTTTATCCGATTCAAACTTAGTTGAGGGGTTTTTTCACTAAAAATACTTATAGTAATTGTCTTTTTAAATATGGCTCCCTCTCTTTGTCTACTCTCTTCATTCTTTTCCATCGAAATGAAGCCATGTGCATAAAATTCTGAGAATTTGCATCCTTTGACGCAGCTTAACATCATATTTGCAAAACTAACGTTACACTGTTTCCTGCACTGTTCATTTTTTTTATATACAGAAAAGCCCCTACACATTAGACTACATCACCCTAATCCTATGTGAGATATTATGTCAGACTACTAAATAGATGTAATTATATCGATAAGAAGAGAGAGAATTTATCTCCACTACAATTTTCCAAACAAGTGTTTCGCTTCCCAAACCAAATAGTAACTCTCAATCTCTCTCAAAGAATCGATATATTATCAGAAACTTAGCAAACATCATTCGCAAGAACATATCTGATTTGGGTTTTTCACTGATTACCAGCTCTGCGACTATTCTAGCATCAGGATCGACACGGGCATAGATCATCTCTCTCTCTCTCTAAATCAGATCTGCATATGTGCTTTTTTTACCAGTATGGTTGGCTTCTCAACGGTGTCTCCTCGCGTCAATTGGTGGTGGTAGAAGAGCTTAAGGGTTTCTCTAGATATAACTAGTTTGGGCTTACACGGCCCGATTTTATCGTGTTGGATCTGCTTGGAGTTGACTTCTGGTTACAAAAAATGTGCATGAGGATTAGTGGTCAGAGACTCGGCGCGGACAGCTTGACTGGGCTGGTGAATTGGTCGCCAAGGTGATTCTATTATAATAGTAGATACTTTAATAGTTAACATATTTTGGATAACAAAATCTGTAAAAGAGTAATAAAGTTTGGTTATTGTATTTGTTTCTGTTAACAAAGTAACATAATTATTATCTGATAGTTTTATTATTATTGTTGTTCACGATATTGATTTGAACATTCGTAAATGGTATGCTTATATGTATAACAAATATAGTGGATAGATAATTCCAATGTTAACAAAGTAATGTGATTCTTATCTGATAACATTATTATTTTTATTATGTTAATGATATTGATTTTGATGAATAACAATGAGGTTACCAATTTTTGTATCAGAAAGTAATAAATCAGGTTTTGGTAATTAATTACATATTTACTAACAAATTCATTATACAGATAATAAATATGTTGGATATCTAACATCAAAGTTATCGAAACAACAAATTATTTATCGGTGATATTCAGATGGATAAAATATATAATAAAATTGTTAAGGATGCATTTATAATGTTACTTTTGACGCAGCTAATATTGTATCCAAAGATGTGAAATCTGTGATAATTGATTAATTACTTGCGTTAATAAACTTCTTATCAAACTAACTATTAGATTATCATTTATGTTACCATAATTCTAATATATGTGATGTATGCTATATATGTTTTTGTTAGACATATCCAAGCGTTATTAGTCTATAACATATCAATTAACAGCACCAACATAAAAGTTAGATGTATGCACGTTTGTCTAAGCAATTTTTTACATATCTCAGCAATTCTTGCTCGCTTGAGTGGAAAAGTATTGTGTAGTTGATATTATATGTAAAAAAATATCACAGATATTTGCCCCACCTATACTCACTCTATAAAATTATCATGTTCCTTATTACAAAAAATTAACGCTTATATAAAAGAAATTAAGAAGGGTTATTTGGTATTTTCTGCTAACCTTGGCAACAGAGATTTTCATTTGTTGTGGGGTTATAGTTAGATCCCCAATTTTTTCATGTCTCGTGAATATTAATCTTATTCACTCTAAAATTCCTTTTATTTGGCCGTCAATTTGGCACATAAAAGATGATCATATTTTGTTGAATAATCACGTGTAATCTTTTGTCATATATATATATATATATATATATATATTCATAATTATTTTATTAAATTTAAAAAACAAAATGTATTTGCATGTGTTGTGTATGCTATTTATTAGTTACTAAATAATTCATACCAAATAGCTGTTTAGATGGCCAAAACCATAAAACACACCTAAGTTGTCGAAAAATCAATCGATATATTTACCTAATAAAGAAAAACAAAAGCAAAATTGACCTCGTTATAATTAGTAACTTCTAAAGTCTCCAAAAATTATTCTTACTATATAATCCATCTTAGATCAACTCAACATTCTCACCAAATCATCTCGTTTCAAACCACGATACAACTGAAAGTTTGCAAATCCACATTATATATTTACATTATGGCAACTCAAATGTTGTTTTCAATACAAGTCTCTCATTCCAACAAGATGGATGTGTGTGTAAAAGATTGTGTCACAAATCAGTGCATGAAAGCATCAAAAAAAGCGACTCCAGCAATATGTGACAACCCTTGCAAGATTATTTGCAATCCATTGAATAATGAGCAATACATCGTTCGCCAACGACGTTATAATGATCCTGTAAAAAGGTTCTGCAGAGCATTTAGTTGGGTATGTCGGTAATTGGAAAGCTCGACCAACAAATTGTTTTTTTTTTTCTATGCACAAGTTATATACTGTATATTGTATCATTGGTTTAATTCATATTTCATTTATATATAATTATTTTATTATATATAAAAAATAATATCGTGCAGAGTATCAGTTGAGAACATCTAAACAGATGATTGCAATGAACCGATTTCACATTATTATTTCTAATTCCTTTTTTTCTGTGTAAAAATTGTTTTATTTGTATATGCAAAATATTTTAAGCCAATTAGTATGCTATCATAATAGGTTCCAAATGAAGAAAACTACATTATCCTCTTAGAAAAAAAATCAAATTAAAAGAGATTAGCTATGCTAATGTAAAAAGATAATTAAGAAATTAAGAGCGCTGTTTATCGAGTTCGTCCTAACTATTTTCTCTCGGGCATTTTCCCCAAGATAACCGCACAGTCAATTTTCCGATCAAATCTCATCTCCTCCGATAGATTTCTATCTGTTTTTTTCTCCTCTTCAGCTTGGGGTTGGGTCGAGCCTTGCTTCGGCCTTGGCCGTGAGTCAAGCGCTGACAATATCTTCTTTCCTCCACCATTTACTCTGCTTCGCTAAGTCTCTCAAAATTCTGCTCTCTCTCATCATCACGGCATCACCGGCACAGCATCGGCATCACTGTCTCGGCATCCTCACCGTCTCACCTTCGCTCCGACACACCATCACGCCATCTTCCTCTTTTGCTGTCTCACTGCCTTGCCCTCTCTCCGCCCCAAAATTCTCCGCCATTACACTCTTTTGTGGCACACCCTTTATCTTCCTGCCCCCGTCATTGTCGAATTTCTCACTAGATATGTTGTTGCTGCCGCTGCGTTTCTCTCCAAACTCTCTCAAGCAGATTCGAGGGCTATCTGCATCGGAAAGTTAAGTTGGGAGCCTCTGACAAAGCAATCGGCTTTGAGTTTTTTGCCACCGTGTTTGAATCCTCCGGTGACATCTATTCCGGCGTCCTGTCTACCAGCAAAGCTCTCAGCGTTAGTATATCCTCCAAACTTATGGACATGATCATCTTCCCCGAAGCTTCAATAGTGTGGGCCTAGTCCAACTTTTGGATGGGCCTGCCCAAATTGGTATCTACATGATTTTTGGATTTAAAGGCCCACAAAAATTAAGGTTGTGTGATCTTATTCTCCACGCTGAAGAGAGCTGCTCGGGCAGTGATTTATTTTTAAGGACGGTTCTTTCCAGCGTTTTTCCGGTTAAAGAAACTTCAGGCTTCCTCGTCCGAGTCAAGGTATTCATCATGGAGCAAATCTCCAAATCTAATCTTGTTGGATTCATGTTTGTTTTCTCGCTCTGTTCAAACTTTGGAAAGTATACATTTTTTTTGCGCTATGGGATTTGCGGGGACTCATCTCCTCTGTGTTTCATCAAGTTGCATATCCTCAGATTTTCATTGCCGCCCCTTGACCCCCTCGGTTCTGAGCTGCCAAATAAGTATTTAGAGCTTCAAATGCGGATGGGCAAGTATTAAGAGCTTCAATTTTGGTTGGTAATGGTAGTTGGCGAAATTGAAGATGATGGCATTTTCGTGAATACTTGATATATCGTAAGATGGTTGTGTCTTTTTTAAATTTCTTTAAAAAATCGATAATTATAAACATAATGGCATTTACGTTATTATATGTGGCTTTAGGGAGATAGTAGAGAGAAAATGGCTAATGTTGAAGAGGGAGAAAAAAGAGGTTAGATTTGCATTTGACTTCAATTTGTGGGTCATATGTGAAAGAAGCCCTATAAGATACAAAGTAAATTATAAAAATAACAAATAAAAATAAATAAACAAACAAATTAATAAAAAAGAGTCAAAATTTTAATTTTAAAATATTAAACTATAATATCTATAACCTAAACTATAATCTATAAATTAAAGAAACAAATAAAACTAAGTCTAAATCCTAAACCCAAATATTTAAATTTTTTTAAAAAATTAAAAATAAAAACTAAATTCTAAACCCTAAATCTAAATATTAAATTTTAAAAAAAATTAAAAAATAAAAATTAAATCTTAAACACTAATCCCTAAACCCAAACATTAATTTTAATAATATATATTTGGATTTAGGACTTATGATTTAATGTTTATTTTTTATTATTAAAATAAATGTTTGGGTTTAGGGATTTGGATTTAGGATTTATTATTTATTTTTAATTTTTTAATAAATTTAATATTTGAATTTATAATTTAGGGTTTAGTTTTTATTTTTAATTTCTTAAAAAAATTAAATATTTGGATTTAGGATTTAGACTTAGTTTTTATTTTTATATATTTTTTAATTTATATATTATAGTTTAGGGTATAGTAATTAGAATTTAATATTTGAAAATTAAAATTTTTGATTATATTATTATTAATTCGTTTATCCATTTTATTTTTATTTTTTTATTTTTTTAATTCACTTTAAATCTTACATGGCATATTTTGATTGGTTATAATAGAAGGAGGTGAACATAGAGGTTCACCCTGGATAGAGCACTTGGAAACGAAGAATATCTTTCTATTTTCCCCCACTCATCTGCGGAGTACTTGAAACTCTGAGGATCAGATCATCGACCAGTCCTAACTATGATAAAATCTGACACTTCAAAGAAGAAAAAAATCATTTCGTTTTGATAAACGATGGATTGGAAAACCAGGATTCAAAGAGATACTCATTTCCGGGTTGGGTCCTTTTGATGGAATTTCACGTCGAGATATCCACCCGAAAGTGTCACAATGCCGGAAAAACATCTCCATCTGGAAAAAATCCAACTAGACTAATTCGAAAAGATGATCGAAGAATTAAATCAATTGGACTTTGTTCAAGATGATGATGATACAACGCTAGAGGAAATTAAAAACATTAGGAGAAAACTCTGCAATGCCCTCCGGGAAGAAGAAATCTTTTTAGCAACAGAAGAGCCGGAAAAATGGCACAAGAACGGAGATAAAAACACAAAATTCTTTCATGCTCTCACTAAGCAAAGGAGAGCCCGAAACCGTATTGTCTCTCTCAGAGATAACAATGGACAATTGGTGGAAAATGCAAGAGGGATTGAACGGGTGGCCTCCACGTATTTTCAAGAGCTCTTCTCCTCATCTATTCCCTCTGACCTGGCCATTTCGCTCCGGTTTATCACCGAGAAAGTATCGAATAATGCAAACCAATTACTACTGAAGGATCCAACCGAAAAAAAAAGAAATAAAGGAAACCATTTTCGATATTAACCCGAATAAGGCTCCTGGGCCTGATGGAATGACACGTAAATTCTACCAAAAATTCTGGCCTTTCCTACGCCAGGACATAGTAAAACTTGTCAAAGACTTTTTCAACGGAACTTTTGACCATAGACTCAACCAGACCAACATTTGTCTAATTCCGAACAAAACAAACCCAAAGCGATGACAGAATTTTGCCCAATCAGTCTCTGTAATGTGAGTTAGAAGATCATATCAAAACTTATGTGTAAATGGCTCAAAAAGACACTACCAAACATTATCTCGGAAACACAATCGGCCTTCATGGCTAGATGGCTTATAACTAACTACATCTTGTTAACCCAAGAAAACTTTCATGCAATTCGTACCAATCCCATTTGTAGAGAAAACTTTATGGCTATAAAGACTGATATGAGCAAAGCTTATGATCGGGTTGAATGGAGTTTCATTGAAGCCCTCCTGATTAAGCTAGGTTTCTCTGCAAGATGGGTTGAGTTACTTATGTTTTGCATCTCCTCGGTCTCATATCAAGTCCTTATTAATGGCAAACCAAAAGGACACATTAGACCATCAAGGGGATTAAGGCAAGGAGATCCTCTCTCCTCGTTTCTCTTTATTTTGTGCACAGAAGGCCTTATTTCCCTCCTCAAAGGTGCTGAGGAAGAAGAGCGTATTTCTGGGCTGAAGGTAGCCTAAGCAAGTCCTCCAGTGTCCCACCTACTTTTTGCTGATGATAGCCTGTTTTTTCTGTAAAGCGACCATTCATCATCAGGGGGCAAAGATTCTCAGAATATTAAACACTTACAGAACGGCATCGGGACAATAACTCAACCTGGGCAAATCATCCATCATGTTCGGAAATAGAGTGGATCCGAATCAAAAACGAGCTATTAAAAATACTATCGGTATCTGGACAGAAGGTGGCTTGGGTATGTATCTTGGTCTCCTTGAACAAATCTGCGTATCAAAGAAGAAAGTCTTCTCATTTGTCCATGACCGCCTAAGCACCCGGGTTAATAATTGGTCTGCAAGACTTTTCTCCAAAGGCGGAAAAGAGATTCAGATCAAATCAGTGGCTCAAGCCGTTCCGACCTACGTCATGTCTTGTTTTCTTCTTCCACAGGGGATAATAGACAAGCTACGCAGCGCCATTGGCAATTTTTGGTGGAGTTCGAAACAAAATAGCAGTGGAATACAATGGATTGCTTGGGACAAGATTTGCATTCCCCAGGATATGGGAAGCCTTGGATTTAGGGACCTTAATGATTTTAACCTAGCTCTGCTAGCTAAACAGCTATGGAGAATCATTCAGTATCTGAATTCTCTTCTGGCCCGAGTGCTAAGAGGAAGATACTTTCGACAATGGGACCCATTAGAGGACTGAAATGTCTACTCACCATCTTATGGATGGAGGAGTATGTTGGTCGCCAAACCATATCTCAAATTGGGACTCAAGAAGACAATCGGGTCGGCATTGAACACTAGAGTTTGGAGTGAGCCTTGGATTCCCGATGCCAGTGCTCGAGCTCCAAGAGTAGCCCCCCAGATCGGCTTTCAAGATCCAGGAATGTTAGTATATCACCTTATCAACCAAGATACAAAACAGTGGGATGAGTCTCTCCTGAGAGAGTGCTTCCAACCTGAGGATGTCTCGCTTATCCTTGGGTTGAGACCTAGTAGGAATCGTACCCTAGACGGATATGCATGGAACCACACTAAATCAAGGATATATTCGGTTAAAACGGGGTATGATTTGATTAGAAGAGCGAAGCTTGCACAAAATTCAGAGGACGTGGGAGAACCAAGTATCACAGCCCTTCAAAGTTATGTTTGGAAAGTACGTACACCTGAAAAAATGAAACATTTCATGTGGCAAGCTTTATCAGGATGTATTGCTACTTGCCAAAACCTGACTCGCAGGCATATGGGATCGGATAGGCGTTGCCCCTGCTGCGGGAACCCTGAAGAATCTATTAACCATCTTCTATTCTTATGTCCCCCGGCTTTACAAGTCTGGGCGTTATCGGACTTTCCGTCCCTTCCGGACCTCTTTTCGAGTACCTCTATTTACCAAAATATGAGCTTCCTCTTTTGGCAAACAAAAGAGATAGGCATGACAGATCCACAAAAGGATGTTTATCCTTGGATTGGAAAGCGAGGAACGACAAGATCTTTAACGGGAAAGAAATTTCCCCGGTAGATACTTTAATCCACGCAAAATTCGAAGCAGAAAGCTGGAGGAGTGCAAGCAAACCGGAAGAAGACGAGGACGCAATAGATGAAACTACTACCATTCCTTTAACTCCGATATCTCTACCTGATGACCAGAGGTTCCCGATTTGCTAGGTCGATGCATCCTGGATAGAGAACGGCATCGTTAGTGGGCTCGGGTGGTGCCTGAAGAAGGAGAGGAATGATGAGATTTTTGGTCTTCAAGGCTGCCGCAGAAGTCTCTCGGTCTTTCATGCCGAATTGGAGAGCCTCTTATGGGCAATGTCTTGTGTGAGAGATAGACAGATCTTATCCGTCCACTTTTAGACCGAATGCTTGGATCTGGTAAACATGGCAGAATCCCCATCAGATTGGCCATTCTTCCTTTCAGAGTTGGAAATCTTCCGGATCCTACGAGAAAGCTTTTTGGACTTCTCTCTCTCCCATATTTCCAGAAGTTCAAATATCCGAGCGGATAATCTTGCGAAAAAAGCTCGAGTAAAAGGCTTTATATTTTCCCAAATCATTCATAATGAGCCAGTTAAGGGGGTCTTTCGAACCATTCCCTTAACAGACCAATAGTGATTGGATATTGAAAAAAAATAAAAAATAAAAATAGTTCACCCTTAAGAATGAACCAAAAAATTGTTCTTTATATAATATTATTTCTCTTTCTGTTCATCATGAATATCATTAACATATAAATGTTAGGAATCACTTCCAAAATAATGTACTCTAAACTTACAATCCTATGGTAAGTTCAGAGTCTTAAGCTAACTGAAAATTGACTATTATAACTTGAAGTTTGAGCTAATTGTAAATGCCTATAACCTGAAGTAGTTTCATTGCTAAGTGATTAAAAGTCTGAGAATTTTTTTTAATGATCTCATTACTAAATCACTAAAAGTCGGTTTTGCTATATCAGGAACTTCAACTCATGTTAGATAAGATTTTTTACGAGCTAGCCGGTGATTAGATATGTTAACCGTTACATGTATCTTTGAATGTAACTTCAACTCACTCTCTTTGAATGTTCTTCAGAGTTGATTCGTAATTTAGTAGTATATGTTTACGTTTAATATACCAGCTAGTGTTTAACATCAAGCAAGAAGAAGTCGAGACAAAATAAAAAGGGATATAATAGACATCAAGAAAAAGGAATTCAATACACTAATAATCAAATAGAATGAGAAGGGAAGCCACAAAAATATCTCCAAACAAAATATCCTGATCTCCATCTCAACTCTCAATAATATCCTCTCCAAAAGATAATAAATCCCAAAAGAATTCAGTCCCCAAAGTAATAACAATGGAACAAAACATAGACGACATAAAAATAAATGCAAGGAAACACCGCATGAAAGACTCCTTGCTTAGATCATAAACCAGACAAGAACAGATCCAAGTACCAAGCTCGAAACTGTCTTGCTCGCTCCATTCTGCAAAACATAAGATTTTGGAATCAACATTTCATTTTACCCGTTACAGAAGCATGATGTTACTTTATTTCGAAAATGGGACTTATTTAGATAAATTATTTAATATGGGGTTACTTTTGGAAAGATTCTAAAATCTAGGGGTCCTAACTTAAAGTAATCTTCGACAGCAGATTTAGGAGAATCCTTTTTTATGCTTTTGACTATTTTATTTTATGACTAAAACCTCCAGATTTACTTTTAAAACAATTGTTGTTGGTTCCGACATAACAACACGTGGCAGTTATTAATTTGTTCACGTGCATACTGACAAACTCACGTGACTTTTGCACCCCACGCGCCACGGCACAAGTTCGAAGATCTCGAGACAGATGCAGCAAGCAACGGTCCGAAGTAGGCAAACCCGATACCGGCGCACATTAGCATAATCTATGCTAAATTGCGCTTACCATGCAGATCAAACTCATTACGGCGCACATTAGCATAAACTTTGCTAAACTACCACTAATCATGTATTCTAAACTCAAAAGTGTTAAGATTGGTTTAGATCTAATCAGTGATTAACCATTGTTACTTAATTAACAAGTTTCAAAGTCAAAACATCTCAGATCTGAAACGCATTGTTCAAGATCTACTCAAAGTGAAACAGAGAAGGAAGAGTTTAAGGACCTGGTCATTCGAATCGATGGCAGGTCCTGGAGATAGAGAATCGATGCTTGGTCCCGGAGCATCAGTCGCCGGAGAAGGAGGGCTTGAAGACGGCGACGGAGAAGGAGAATCTGGCTTTTTGGTCGGAGCAGGAGCTGGAACTTGAGCGGGAGGGGAAGCGAGAGGAGCTGGAGGAGGAGTTGAGACGGGAGGAGGAGTAGCTGGAGGAGGAGATGCGACTGGAGGAGGAGTAGCGGGAGGAGGAGATGCGACTGGAGGAGGAGGAGATGCAGGTGGTGGAGAAGAGACTGGAGGAGGAGTAGCCGGAGGAGGAGCGGTGGTGACTGGAGGAGGAGAAGTGGTGACTGGTGGAGGAGCTGAGACAGGAGGAGGAGTCATTGCTGGTGGTGGAGTTGTTGGAGTCGGTGGTGCTGGTGTAGCGGTTGGTGGTGAAGACGGAGCTTGACCTCCGACGCCGGCGACGAGGACGATACAGATCGCAACGATAACAAATTGCCTACCCATTCTTTTTTAGTTTCTTTCCTTGTTTTTTCTCTGAGTGATTTTTCAGTGTGAGAAAATGTAAAAGGAAGAAAGTGAGGAATTTATTTAAATAGGAAAAGTAGGAATCACATCAAAACGCAAATACATAGCGTCGTATTGAAGCTCTCTAGTGTGTATAATACAAGACCCACGATGCCATGTGAGAGTTGGCGGTGATAGATCTGTTGACACGTTGGCGAGTTTATCAAATTATGATGATGGGATGTGTATGAGTTGTATTTATCAAAGAGCATAAAACTTCCAAGTTACTCAAATTTCCAAACATGTATTACCAAAATTTAGCTTAGGTGCTTATGTTAGTAACAAGAAAAAAGTTTTTAGGATCTCACCGGATACATAATTATTGAGAACACCTAACGAATTGACAAAATGTCAATAGAGGACAGAAAAATGATGGCAAAGTTGGCAAATAAAAATCAAGTGTGTGTGATCGAGTACTTTGGTTGTAAAGGTAGAAAATTCCGGTTGTTTGTCAAAGGTTTTTTCTTCTTCCATCTGTTGTTATATTAATGAAACCAAAACTGAAACAAAGAAAAAAATACAAATACATGAGCTTATCACCATTTAGCTTCCGCATGTATTCTTTTTTTATATTTTTTTCAATGGCAAAAATACATTCTATTTTATAAGTTTTGAAAATTTTTAATTTGAAATTTATCCACTTATATATATATATATACATAATGTTGCCATATAAAGATGAACGTAAATTGGAGTATAAGTATATAAGTGTGTAAAAGAAAGATAAGATTTCCTTACAAACAAAGTTTAGTCCTTTATTTGGAAAATGACAGTAAAAGAAAAATGTTTGTTCCTTATGAAATGAGTAAGGGTAGAGTGATGGAGTAGTTTAGGTGATAGCATGTCGAAGGTAGGGTCAGGTTGGGTTTGTTGTGCGTTTCGATGGATGCTTTTGAACAGATCGAATAATATTTATTTCAATTATTTGACGAGTTTTGGATTCTTATTTTGTTTGGTGCTATACTGCTATTATTATTCATGTGCTCTTCCAGACAGCACAATGTTACTCCCACTTCACAAATAAATATATAAATATAGAATCAATTAGGTTTATTAGTGTATAGTTTGTATTATGAAATATAGCAAATGGATTTTTTAAATTAGAAAAGTTGCATAAAGAAGGAAAAAGTTTTTCTAAAATGGTTATTTTTACATAGCATACATATTGTTAAGGATAAATTTGATTTTTCAATGTAGGAGAATTGTGTACTTGTACCATAGTGCCTATAATTTTTTCGTAAGTATATTTTTTCCAGACTAAATTAAGTTTTATAATAATTTTAACCCAATACGACATAAGCATATAACACCAGGTCTCGAATCCATCAAATTTGGAAGACCCAGCATGAAAGGCTACATGTTTTTGGGTTCCTCGTACTTGATAGCGGATGCCACACTATTAGAGACAAGAAAATCGGGAATTGAGTGGCCAGGAGAAGGAAAAAATTATCTTTCTTATGTCTTAGACCTAAGCTTAACGATCTGGAAAAATTGGGGTATAAGAAAGAGTAACCGACATAGATACCTGAGAAAAGAAACAGCCAGCAAGACAACCTCGACAGACTGGTCCTAGTATCAAAGGACCCAAATCAGGTATAAATATCTTCTTGAGCAGAAAAGCATTATTCAAGTTTCCTCAATTCGATAATTAGAATATGAGTTTGACTGATTCGATTGCCAATACTCTTGTAAACCCATGAGATCAACATTTAATGTTCAGTGCGTACACATGTCAGGTGATAGTAACCACTCGTGGAATACAGAGAAAGACAATGGCTCAGCAAAGGCTATACCGCGTCAAAACTGCCAAACTCAACCCATACGCTGAAGGCGAAAGAGACGCGCTAAGAGTCGGTCTCGTAGCAGGCAGAAGACGCCAAAAAGTTCGTAACACCGTCAGAAGCATGATGCAAGCAACAAGATTCGTATCTCATCGTGATGGATCCCAGACCGACCCGCAAAAGCAACAACCCCAGGTCTAATCCGGTATACTAGTTCGGGTCAGGTAAAATTCTCTAAATATTTAACACTTTCTAACGAGAAATGGGTTCACTCTTTTGATACCTTCGAGCTTATGTTATCTCTCTAGATACTCATAACTCGAAAGTCACCACACTTTCATTTTCCGGTCATCATTCTGACCACTTTCTCACTTCTACTCTACGGTGGTTCCTAAACCATGAAGCATTTTCACCCACAAACTCTTACACTTCTTCTCTTTTCCACCTCAAAAGCCTACCAAACTCAGGTCTTCATAGACTCAGCCCTTCTTAAGAGCTTTCTGCCAGCTTTTCTTTCCGTTTTCCAATCTCATTTCCATTTCTCTGATTTACCATTTTGTAGTCTTTCTTTAAACCATTTTCTAACTTGACCGTCGGAGATCCATCGGAAAATATCCCACCATCGTATTTTCCGAGCCTTCACGTTTATTTTTTGTAGGAAACTTGCCTCAAAAAGACCAAAAATCCTCGAACAAAAATCAAGGCACATATCAAACACTTTTACGTATAGTAATTACATGACGAGATGAATCAGATACCCTATTTAAAACTGTAGTTCCAAAGTTAGTATAGAATTTATACCAAAAATAAACATGTGATTTTTTACAGAAAAGACTGTAAGAAATCTGTTGGAAAAAAACTTTTTCGAAGATTTCTGACAGATATAAGATTTTTGGATAACATTGATGGATTTAAGATGACTCCGGAAACTACATAAAGTAGAAACATCAATGTTATAAATTTTCTAGATATAAAATAATTTGTTAATATAAATTTATAAAATATGACACATATATATTAAATTTTATAGATTGTGACATTTAAATAAATTTTATAAAACAATCGAAAATCTAATTAAATTCAATCATACATTTTTTTATCAAAAAAATGAAAAATATATTTTAAACCCTAAACTCTAAACTTTCAAACTCAAAAAAATAAACCTCTATTGCTAGCATAATCCTCCTTGAATTAGAATCTCATAATCGACAATAAGAGTATGGCCATAGGTGGGTGTTCTTAAAAAAATCACAAATTATTGTGTAAGAATACAAATATAATAACATAACTATCTAACAAGATGATAATAACTTGAATGAGACTACTTTAAACCCTAGTCAAGGATAAACCCAACTTTATTAGTGAACAGTATGTTATCCAAAAGAGATATCTTCATATATACCATAGGATATCTAAACCCTAATTATAATTATGGAAGTTTTGGGAGGAATAAAATAAGTGAGGTTTAATCATAAAATTTATAAATAAAAAGTATTATTAGTAATAAGGGTTCAATGCAAAAAAACCCAGCACCTTTATTTTTTTTGCAAGATAACCCATGAGCTCGCAAAAATGCAAGTCAATGTCTCCACACACGAAGTCACCCGTTAAACAGCCCAAGCCCATATCGATGACGTGGCATAGAGAGATTCTGTTTAAAAACCAACATAAGTCCAAACGCAGAGTTTAAGCAAGAGTAAAACGACATGTTTTATTATTTGTGTTGTTGTTTTTACATTCGAAAACGACATGTTGTTGTTCATTACGGTTACATTTACTCAATTTAGGGGAAATCATAAATTAGGGTTTGAGTGAAATAGAATTTAGGGAAATTGAATTAAGGAAACTCAATGATTTGAGGAAAATGAAATCGATTTATGCCCTTGTTTGGCTTTAGGGGCTTTAAGTCGGTTCTAATTGGTAGATCTGAATGAGAAATCGGCAGCTTCGAAGAGAATAATCGGGTCGAAGCTGTGAAAGAGAAATTGCGGAGACCAAAATCTATTGGAGGAGAATTTGAGTCTGTCTAATGAGGTACGTATATGGAACCTTTTAGTCTGTTTTTTTTTTCCTTTCGATTTTTGGTAGAGGTTGTTGAACTAATATTTCGATATATTTTGCAGTTTCGATCTGTACATTTTTGTTGGAGGGTATTGGTCACCTGATGACGTTTATCTGGGTTGAGAGTCATTTTGGGGGTAAACACTGCAGTGAAGGGTTTACCCTTAAGAAGATTCTGGTGCTGGTTACAGGATATCTCGGGTACGAGGACAACATGAGGATGTGTTCTTGGTATCCACCTGATATGCCGGATATGAAAGGGGACCTTGAAGACGATGTGATGCTGACGAGAGTGGTTCACTATGGTGTCGAGACAGGTGCATTAACTTTATATCTAGTCCGAGAAGATGATCCATACATTCGTCGACGTGTTGGTGTTGTAAATCCTTCATTGTCTGAAGACAAAGGCGAAGGTTATTTAAAAGTAAAAATTCTTGAAGATGGAGATTCTGATGCTGAAGATAATGCAGGAGAGAATGCGTACGAAGTCCAATATAGCAGTAGTGATAGCGAGGGGAATGGAAAATCCAAAATTGATGATACTAAGTATCGGAGGTTTGAGTTGGGTCAAGAGTATAGGATAATAGAGAGCTTAAAGAAGGCAGTGACTAAGTATGCAGCGAAGCAGAAGAAAGACATCAAGTATCACAAGTCTGATAGTAGGCGTTTAACAGCTGTTTGTTGTGACAGAAAGTGTCCTTGGAGGCTTTATGCATCAATTAACAGCAGCTCTAATCGAGTTGTTGTGAGAACATTTCAAGAAGAACATAACTGCACTTGGCAAGGTAAGGTCTCAGTTCTTACTAATGCAAGAATCGTATAATTGTTCATTGAAGAATTCAGGTTGAATCCAGAATATTCTGCAAATCAGTTGCAATTGAAGATTCTGGCCCGTAATATCAATGTCACATGGACAATATGTGAGAGGTCGAGGTTGAGATGTCTACAAACATTTGATAACGATCAAGCAGAGCAATTCGCAAGGCTGTTTGACTATGTGGCTGAGCTAAAAGAACAAATCCTGGCTCTACGGTAGAATGTGAGGTGAGGGAAACAAGGTGCTACAGATTCTACACATATTTGCTGGACTATCAGAAAGATGGAAGTCAGCTTGTAGAAGGATTATTTATCTCAACGGTACTCATATGAAGTGGAGGATGACTGGTGTACTTTTAGTGGCTTGTGGCAGAGATCTAAATGATCAAATGTTCCCAATAGCTTGGGGCATTGTAGATGCTGAGAACACACCAAATTGGAAGTGGTTTTTGGAACACTTGGTTGACGATTTAGGTGTAGGGCTGGGTAATGGACTGACTTTGGAAAGCGACCAACAAAAAGAATTGATTGGGGCAGTGAAGGTTCTGTTGCCATATGCAGAACACAGAGAATGTGCTAGACATGTCCATGCGAATTAGAAAAAAAAACACTCTGGAGCAGAACTAGAAGACTTGTTCTGGGCTGCTGCTGATCCATACTGTCCGCAACAATTTGACAGAGAGATAAAAGAAATGAAAGAGTATGACCCTGAAGCACATGCGAACTTGAAGATTAATGTCTTCTGTCCATGATCAAGGTAAATGTGTTTCCCATCTTTATGTATATATTTATACTTACAATATTCACAGAATCCTTTGTTTTCAAATGCAAGGCTTTTTTTCCGAGTATTCCAATTGTGATGCATTTGAAAACAATTTGGGGGAATCATTTAACACAGCTATTAGAATTCCTAGAACAAAACCAGTCGACGAGATGCTTGAGGAAATCAGAAGGAGGGTCATGGTCTGTAACGACAAGAAGTGACTTCAAGCTGGTAAAGTTATAGGAGATTACACTCCAAGATCAGTGGCCTTTCTGGATCAACAGATTGACCTGGCCAAGCATTGCCGGCCATTACCTTGTGGTCTTGGGAAGTATGAAGTAGGCTACTTCAATGACAGGTATGTAGTGCATCTTAGGAACGAAACTAGTTGTACCTGTAGACTTTACCTGGTTAGTGGAATCCCTTGTTGCCACATTGCTTCTGCTCTTAGGCTAGAGAGAGACGCTGATCAAGACCCAAAGACACTTATTAGTCATTGTTTTACGGTTGGGAAACTTAATAAGTGTTATAATACTGGTTTGAACCCTATGAACAATATGAACATATGGGAGTAACCACAACTGTTAGGGTTAATCCTCCTCCTTACAAGAGGCCACCCGGTAAGCACAGAAAGAGAGAGAAAGGTGAGAAGCCTTGAAAACCAAAAGGCCTTGGTGCCGGATTTCAGGCTAAGAAAGGAATCAAAATAGTAAGTCCATATCTTTCTGTGTTTCTATTTGTTTTGTGTTAACATATGCGAAGTAACTATCTTTTGTGTTATATATGTTTGTTTAGCATTGTAGAAAGTGTGGTCAAGAAGGTCACAACATTCTGAAATGCAAGAATGAGGCCTCCAAAAAAGCCACATAGAAGACCACGTGTTCGGCCTGTTGTCAACGAAGCTCTCCTCCTGAATAATGGATCTTCTTCTCAGTCGGCACAAAACAGAAATTGGATGCCTCGTACTGACGATATTGGTGCTGGATCTTATTCACAACCGACATAAGGAGGTTGGGCTGGTGCTGGATCTTCTTCCCAGCCGGCATAAGAAGGTTAGACTGATGTTGGATCTTCTTCCCAGCCGGCACAAGGAGGTTGGACTGGTGCTGGATCTTCTTCTCAGCCGGCACAAGAAGCTTGGACTGATGCTGGATCTTCTTCCCAGCTGGCACAAGGAGGTTCGGATGGTGCTGGATCTTCTTCCCAGCAGACACAAGGTTGGGCTGCATGGTTTAATTGTGGACCTGGAGCTTCTTCCCAGCCGGCACAAGGAACTTCTTCGTAGCCTGATGAATTCTTCCAAGCCTCTCATCAGCACTACCTCGGAGGAAGCGTGGTAGACCACGGAAGAATACTGCTGCTGAAATACCTCAAGCTCCACCTAACCAAGAGACAATCAGACACACTACACCTAGAGTAAGTGTTTTTTTTGTTACAACAATGTAAGTGTTTTACATTATGTTTTCTCATACTAATATAAGTGTGTATTTCGCAGGAATGTTATGGTATATTTACAAGTCCAGACACAGGAGATGACTACATTCACCTTGGTAGAAGTGTGAGAGACACACGCGATAACACAGTTCTTCCAAGAGCCTTTAGAGAGCTAGAGAAGCAAAGAATTTGGCCGCCACACGTGCACGTGGCCGTGGCCGTGGTCGTGGCACTTCCCAACCATAACAAACTTTTTTGTCTTCTAGTCGTTTGTTGTCTGAATCTTATCGATGGAAACTAATGTTCTTATTGTCTTTTGTTGACTCATAATGTTCTTGTTGTCTTTTGTTGACTCATAGTGTGCTTGTTTGTTTTTTGTTGGCCTTTTGTTAACTCATAACTAATGGTCTTTTTATCTGAATTTTATCTTATGTTATGGTTATGTATGAGTTTTCATAAATTTATGGCACATTATACACCTATAAGTGAAACAATCTCCATAACATAAATAAGTGAACTAAACCTCATAACACAATATGTAAGTCTTAACACAAGTCTTAGATTGACTAAAAAACATAGATTGTCTTACATAAAATTACAAATCAACTAAGGAAAATTAACCCTTGCACAAAGATTTAAGGATTTAGCCGATAGGTTTTTTGGCATACACATAGAATACATACCAACTACTTAACTCACCAAACAAACGAACCAAATGAAATCGCTGCAACACCCACCGCTACTACAAACTTCAGGTCCTTACGTTCCTTTTCCTTATAGGCAGAGAACTCCTTCAATCTCTCCAGCAGGTCATCTTGTCTCAGCAAACACTGCAGATCAGCAATATCATCCTGGAGCTTCACAAAATCATCCTTTAATGCCTTAAAATCCTCAGTTATTGCATCATCCCACCACTTCCAAACATGGCATCTTCCATCCTATTCAGAAAGTTACTTCAACTACTTAGAACAACAATAATCAATTCACTTGTGTTCAAAGTTAAAATGACCACTCACATATTGTTCTTGTAAGTGTAAAAACGCATTCATGGATTAGTGATGGTGTGAGAAGTCACAATCTCGGTACAACAACCACAGAAACACTTGTCTGGAATACCATGGTGTCCACGACATCGCAATGACTCCACATACAAACTCGATGCAGCGATGCAAACGATATTTCTTATTCCTGCAATGAATACTTAATCGAAGTCATAATTAACAACATATATTTACCTAATCCCAACCCAAAAACCCCTGTAACTCAAAACATTTACCCAGTTCCTTAATATACTCAGTCTCGAACCAATAGTGACAAATAAAGCTCACATCCGATTTCAAACCCATAACCCAAATATACACAACTGAACACTAAATCTAAACCCCAAAGCCACTAGACACTAGCTATTGATCGGAATTCTTACCGGATAAGCAGCTGGGGTCAGAATATTTTGATTCCTCTTCGTCTCTTTTCATGCGATAAACCCTAAGTTTCCCCCCAAATTGATTTGTTCCCCGACATGAGACACAGCTTATATTTAAAAACAAAAATCTTATCCTCTCTGTTTTGAAACACATGTTACGTCTTGTTTCGAAAACAACATGATTTGTTATCTGTCATTTATAATTAAAACGCTGCATTTTCAAAACCATCAGCGATATAACGACGACTTCACGGAGGAGCTGTTTAGCGGGTGACTTCGTGGGTGGAGAGATTGACTTGCATTTTTGCGTGCTCATGGGTTATCTTGCAAACAAATAAAGGTGCTGGATTTTTTTTCATTAAACCCAAGTAATAACTAGAAATAGAGTCTATATTATGATCAAAAGAAGAAATAGAATCTATTGGAATATTCTATTTAGAGTACAAAAATAAAGTAATACATAGGAGGGAATTAAACAAAATTCTATTGTAAAGTTACTTTATTTTAGAGTGAAAAAATAACAAATAATTGAAGATGGTCTAACGTGAGTTTCCTACAATGAAATGCGATTTTGGATGTAAAGTTGAGCAATGAACGGCAAGGAAAAAGGCCTTGACGACTTTTCTATAGTTTTGTAACATAAAAATGAGTTCGATCAGTAACAGTATCAAAATTCTTGTTCCTCTGGTAACAAAGACATCTTTAATTTCTAGCTCTTCTCTAAACGTGACAGTCGCGTATCTACAAATTTTGGCGAAATAAATCATTGCTACCATAGAAAAAAACTACTACGCCACCAAAGGAGGATACTCCAAAAAATACTATCTGTGGTAAAAAAACAGAGCTCAAGCTATTCTTCTTATCCTAATCAAGCCTCCTTTTTCCAATGTTGATCTCGCCCTCATGTTTTTCCTTAGTAGTTCCCTCTCCATTAGCCTCCTTACTTCTCTTCTCCTTTTTTTGGTTTATGGTAATGGTGGGTTGTCCTCTATGGCTCTATTCTTTTTTTTTTTTCTGCTAGAAATGTTAATATCATATAAATGATGGAAGGTGTTACAGAGTCTGCTAAACTATATAATTGCGCACTTGGCAAAAATGAAATAAAAACAAGTGAAACAATACAACACTGAGATAAAGAAACATGTAATTATCTAAGCCAAAGGGACATCAAGTTACCAAAGCGACGTTTCTGTCTCCTGGCAGTGATAATGTTGTGGATATTGTTGTAGGTGGGCTGAGCACAGACCCCTTTTTAAATTTGATCCAGTCCAAGATCCGTCTCTTGTAAGCCCAACAAACCCGAAGATCACTAAGGGCCCATTAGGTGAACGAGATGAGGTCGTTTTGTTCAAAGGCTCCGTGAATAGTAGAAGCAGCTCGCCCACGTGATGACGGTCTGCCAAGTTGCCACCGCGACGTTTAGAAGGATGGTCGGTCAGGTTTACCTGCCCGACTGTTCAACCTATCCTGACCGAAATGTAACATAATTTTATTACTATAAATAGCCTTGTAACTTCATTTATTACACCATCAGTAATCAGAAATAAATGCTAAGAACTCGTTACTTGTAAATAATAAACCTCTGTCTCTTACCTCGCTTAAAGACCTCGCCAAATTAAATCTTATGACTCTATTAATCAAGAATCTCCGAGCCTCACTTCTAGTATTTATCGAATTACCCTCGCGTGCGTATACAAAACAACAAATATCTCGGTTGATATTTCTGAAGATAGAAGGTGTTGGAATTGAAACCTGATTGTGGAGCACATTGTTTCTCTGTTTACAGAGATGGAAGAGAACAACTTGGCTCTATCCTTTCCACTCCTCGTTATAGGAGCGATAACACATCAGCCGATGCTTTGGCAGCCCTCACTTCAACGACCGAGCCAAATCAGTGATACCAATCCCGGTCGAAAGCATTGACACGCCAAGCATCAATCTTCCTAAAGGAATTTGCGCTATCAGCGAGCTTCAAGCGA